TTCCCTCATGTGTATGGTGTTATTTTGTACTTTATGCTTTTGGTGCCACTGCGGGCACAGCCAGCGGCTCTGACACCATTCAGCCACGTCCCCAGCTGTAAGTACGGCCCCCCTTTCCCCGCTGTAATTGCTTGCTTCACCTTTTCCGCCATACGTTTCTTGACGGCACCCTCCGTTTTTTATCATTAAAACGACCTAGTTTACCACCGGTGCCCCTGACGTGTCTTCTGTAATTCCATTTAGTCTAGATGTCTCAAAAACATACCCACCCACACCCACCTCCCAAGGGGGTCCCAGGGAATCACAGGAGTCCATGAATTGGGTCCAGTTCAGCCCCGCAGTTTTCGTATTTGGCCCTTCTTATAGACCCACTAGTTCTACTACGTACTCCTCACTACGTGGGACCTTGGGGCGAGGTGCTAGCAGCGCTTCAGAGCTGCTCCAGAATCCGCTGCAGTATCAAACGCACCCCAAACTTTTCAGTCTTCCCCTGGACCCCCCTTGACATGTAAACCACATTTTGAAACATTCTTCCACTGCACAGGTGTACGGTACCGCTGATACTGCACCAAAGGGTACAATATCTATTCCTGCAACCGCAAAGTTGTGGTAGCCGAGGACGCGGCTTCCCTTTGAACAGAAATATTTTCTTCATTCTTGTCGAGCCAATTCCCTGTTCGTTGCAGCGCTGTTTGTATGGTAAACAAAGTTAGACTACTTTACTGTGCTGTGCTGTGCATTAGATGTACTGTACCGGTACGGTATCCAGCTGATTGCAACACAAAAAAGGCTGACGTTTTTTTTTTGAAACCTTCCATCGATCAAGTACGCAGTTGCTTTTCTGTGCTCATCTAAGTGTTTTCGATGTTTCCGCTTTCCACCACGTAAAGTTTACTGTACAGTGTTCGTTCACAGTGACTGCGGTGCGTACGGAGTAAAGACATGAGAGATTGCTTGAGGCGTTCAACAGGTCTGGGCTGGACAGGACAGAAAGCCCCTGAAGTCATCACTGTAGGCAACGTTAAGGACGAAAAAGGTGAAATTCGCTCCCAAATTCATATTTCTCTCAAACGCAGTCTTTCAATAGTGCAATCGTCAGTTGCGTAAGCCCTTTGAATTTGTGGCTCTAGGAGTGTTAGCGTCACTGCCCGTCCACGTGTACACTAAACACGCGTAATTCGAGCGTCTACGACGTCTTCGAGCGTCTGCGAGTTTTCACTCCACTTGATCCTTGATGCCCAGAATAGTACACATGGCATATCTACGGAATCTTGTGCACTGTCTCGCGCGACGCACTGTTGGGACCGTAGGCTGATTGCGGGACTGCAGGCGGGCAACCGCCAACGTTCTGGGCGTGAGCATTGCAGCCCAGCCGCTCGAGACAGGAAAATATGCCCCTCACGCTGGCGCCGGGCAGCACCTCAGCCGGATGTGGATACCGAGAAATACAGTACGGTGTCGCATGATAAGTCTAGCGTTTTTGCGTAATTCCCCCTTCGTATGTCAGACGCGGTGTCAAACAACCCCCCACTTTCCTTACATATTCCACGTCTGCGTTCGCGTTTCACTTCCTCATTCCTGTCTCGACACGTTCCCATACCTTCCTATTCTTCCTGTTTTCTCGCCGACCTGCTCCCCGAAGCCACCACTCATTTCGAACAACATCCTCTCCTCTGTCATCGTCCTGCCTTCTTCAATCGCTCCTTTTTGATTGAAACTCAACGCTAACCTCGCTAGGCACCTCTGCAGCCTCGTTGTGTCTGCTGCCACTGCATTAAGATCTTTGTCCATCTTCTATCTGTAACCTGAATGGATCTCTAGTCGCACCGAGCTTCGACATCTATCCTCGCCATGAACGGTCACCCCCGTCAGCAACCCAAGCATCTGCCATATTCGCAATGGTCGCAGCATCGCGCAAATAACGGCTTGATCTACCTTTCGCACCCGGTCACGGGCGAAGTCAAGTGGCTGTGGTCCCGACATCACGACCCGAAGACGTCGAACGATTACCTCGTCAATACAATCACCAGCAACCGCGTTTGGGTCACCGCGCAGAATGAGCATCTGTGCCCGAGTAAGCCACGGACGACACAGGCCGCGGCCTCGCAACCGGTACAGGGAACATCGAAACTCACCGCGTTTCCGTCTAGTGCATTGAAAAGCGCTCCTCCAGGCAATTCCACAGATAGGTCGACAAACGCGTCCAACACCAGCAAATATAGGGAACTTGAAGCACCAAAGTCGTTGGGGCTCACAGCCGATGAGATCCTCATGCAAGCGGAGGGCGGCCGCCGATACATCTACAACAAGAAGACAAAGAACTCTCGTTGGCTTGACCGTCCTTCAGAAAAAATATCGGCTGACCAGAAGAATGCCTCGATCAAGAATGGCTCTTCCAAGCTTTCGTCTTTCCCGTATGCTCCTGAGCGGAAGGAAAGGGGTACATTCACATCAGATTCGAATCCAACACTCAAAGCAGCGTCGTCGCATGCATCTGAGTCACAGTCATGGCAAGCCTTCTCACATGAACGGAACGGTTCTGCCCATCAGCGAACTAACTCTCAAACACGAGGAACGGCCAACGGGTATGTACACAGATCCAAGCCTCTAAGCGCAGATGAGGCGGCTTTGTCTATTCAGAGAGCCTTCCGCGCGAGTGTCGTTCGGAGAGGGAACTTAGTCGATAAGTGGCGACTGATCACAAAGGTGCTCGACGAAGTGTCAGATACGATATCGAAAGGAAAGTATGATATTGACTATCTGAGAGGCCTACCAAATCGAAGCCTTAATGGAGAAGAACGAGGCCATGCAGTCCAGCGACTCCTTGAGCTTGACGAGTTCCTGTCGCAAAGAACGATGGTCGTTGATGCAGTCGAAAGTGCTGGAAACCAGCTACTCCGAGGAAAGCGAAAAGAAAGTGTGAAGTGGATTCTGAAACTGCAAGATGAAGTAATTGCGTTGAGAAAGACTTTGAAGTCATAGCGCGCCCATACCAGGGGCTATTTTGTAGGGTTTATTCTTCATCCATCTTTGAAAGGCGCAGCTGTTGCTATCCGTATTCTGTAGCAACACCAATATCAAAATGGTGCGAAGGAGGGCCGAACCTCCTGGATTTGAACGCGGTGGCGCATTGTGAGGCTGTCTGTAATGCACAAGCACAAGGACTTGCATTGGGCGGCAGTATCCAGACGTAATATGAGTTTTCGCAACCGCGGCAACAGAGAAGAAATAAAAGTGCAACTCCAATAACAAACACATGACGTAGAGCAGCGGATTAAACTGCACAGGAGTGAACAAAGTTGGCCCCAGGCCCATCTGCGGCATACCAGACGAGCTAAGCACCGACACTGCAACAAAAAGCACACATGCGATCCAAAGCAGCTGGTACCTCCTCTTGCATAAGTGCTGGTGTAGGTATCCTACGTCTAATTCTTCAAGCCCATCCTCCTCCAGAGTCCATCTCTTTTCAAAGCCAACACACAGCCATCACCTGAAGTAAGCTCTCACCTCTGAATGTGGTCTGTTAGTGAGATTGGTTTGAAATAATATCAGAGGAACAGTATCAACGATTGAGGCAAACGAAACACCATGGGAGTAGAAACGCAGAAATGAAGACGCCAGACAAATAATATTTGTCTTCTGAAAGGGAAACATTCGTTTCCCTTTGAGAAGATGCGCTGATCAACATCTCCCACGATGTTGGGCTCGTCCGATTGGCTTCGCGAGTTCTCTCTGCACTCTGTACTCTGTACTGTTTCTAACGAAGGTCACCTCTCTTCATCGTGCGCGTAAGTGGAGGTGTCTTTTTTGAGCCTTTGCTCTGCGGTAACTACGGCATGCAGTAACGCTAGATTCCAAACTTGATAACGTGAGTATCATTCAGTCGAACTTCCCTCTCACCAGAAAGTCTAAGCGAGGAAACTGCGCGAATCGAACATGCGAAGGAAAGCAGCTGTTCTTAGTAGTGTCATGTTGTACGTAGGGGCGCACGTGCACAAGCGTGTAAGCAAGAGGATCAATGGATGTGCATCTCTAGTGCTAGAGGTCGACAAGAGTAGAACAGATACTAGGCAGTATCTATCTCAGCCGAAACCCCGATGCAGATAAAAGCATGATGTGTACCGTACGGTAGTGTACCCTTCTGATATGAACCATGACTCTGCTCGCTTCGACACTGTATAGACTTCTTTGAAGTGAATGTGGACATCAATGCTGACGAGAGCACGGGCCTCTCTTCCCCACGATGTTGGCCGTCCTGGAGACCATACTCATAGTCGAGACCATACTCATAGTCGAAGTGAAATCCGCATTGAGGACGACAGCTTTCTCAAAGTTATGCACAACGCCTTTCATGCATGTTGACGCCACGAAGCATCACGTTTGGATCCCTTTCATGAGGGATTGTGTGGTTGGCCACACATACTAAAATGTCATTTTTGGAATGTATGAAATGTGCTTCAGACTCGCAACACAACATGCTTCATCCCCTGGTGACCTGCATAGACGACGCATAAGAAGCCGTTTCTCCCTCTAGATCACTGATAAAAATGATGTCCTGATCGGTCCCAAACGCCAATCTAGCCTCGTCAAGATTCTCTCCTGAAATGACGCAAGTCTGCCGATCCGTTGCCGGGTCTTTCATGAGAAACGAGTCAGTCACTGGATTGTACGCATACAACAAAACGTAGTGACCAAGAAATCCAAGCGAGTTCGTCAAAGAGGAGAGCGTCTTGGTGGGCGCTGCTGAGCGATCACAAATCGAACATCTCATGAGTCCCTTGTCTAGTAGCACAAGAATCAAACGATTTCCTTCAAGAACAGCGTCTCGAATCTCTTCTATCGAGACGGTCTTTTGCACCACATGCACACCATCGCAGTTGGCGGTTTGAAACAGCTGGTTGACGCGCTTTGTGTCCTGTGGCAACTGCTTTCGATAGAACTCTTGCTTTCGATATTCTGGACGTACCCCTTTGATGATGGTAAAGTACGTTGCTTCTAAGGAATAGCGACGAAGCAAATAGGCGAGGTCAATACTCCAAATACTGTCGGTGACACATGATTTGCGCAAATCTGAAAATGAACTCTACGAAACATAATACAAATGTTCCAACGGTTAACTCTCTCTCCATCAAACTGCATATGGCGGCGCTTCCAGAGATTCAAGAAGTCGCGATACGGCTTCTACTCATAAAAAATACGCTTACCTGTTTGGCACCACGCGCGCGGAGGGCCATTTCAACGCATGCTAATCCGCAGTCCCATGAGTACGACTGAGGCACATGCGGCACCGTCCCTTGGTGCGTATGAATAAAATCCTTCATAGCGTCGTCTGTGTGGCGGGCAATAGCGGAATATGAGGACTTGGTGCTGGAAGTGGGCAAAGCTGGGCGCTTTGTATGCGAGCGGAACATCGCCAACTCTGCATGGGCTTGCATTCCCCGCAGTCTTTTGCAATCGCTTTGACAGAGAGGCAGCGTCAAGCCGTGGTGCCAAGGGCTACGCGAGCATGCAAGAGCCTAAAGACCACTGGGAACTTGCTTGAAGGTCTCCCCCTGGGAGAAAGCAAGCGACAGTTGCACACGGGAGGAAGGTTTGACAGACCAAGGCGAAAGGCATGGTCGCCCCTCCAGCCTGTTTCTCAAAAGCAACAATCTGAATTGCTGTATTTCTCCTGTTATGATACTGGCACCAGTTTCGGTTGCAGCCAATTATATACTGTACGTATAACGGTTCACTCACAGAACAATCCCGTTGAACTGCACATGCTCTCGGTAGCATCGTTTGCCGCACAGCACATATCTCGCTTGCTCAAACCTTTCAGGGAAATAGAGGAGGACAGGTACAGTAAAATACCCATTATGCAAAAGCGTTTTCTGAACCACTCAAGCTCGTAACATAATGTAGTCTCGTTGCGTGCCGCCTGCTTGTAAACAGTTACCATCGCACCACAATCCACAAATGTTTAGTTGTGCTGCGTGGGAAATGTCCGCGATGTCCAATGAGACCGCACCGAGGCGTTCTTGTGAGGTGCAGTTTGATGCACGCTATTGAAGACATTCCGCATATCTAGGCCGCCACGCAGTTCGTCTCATTTGCAAACCGAGGGGTAAGGACACACTTCGTGCGGAACAGCACTTGTAGTGGACCTGACGGGATGTATTCACCAAATGCTTAGAATGGAGAAAGTCCCGTGTGCTATAGTTGGCTGCCGAAAGGATTGCAATGACCAGAAACGACTTAATCGTGTCTGGCCATGTCTGGAACTGGAAGATAAGCACGAGTAGGACTGCAGCAGGGCGGGACACCTCTGGCGTTTGACGGACGGTGGGCTCAAGAAAGTGCACCGCATCGAGGGAAAGATGTTCAGCAGCCTTTAGCGGTCGCAAGCTAGAACATAGAAGTAGATTTACCTGCCGATGAGGGGATGGATGGCGTGAAACAGACCGGGGTAAGGATGTCCATATGTTTTAAATTCCTGCAGATGGGAGAACTAAATACTACTTCAAGAGTACACAGGGGACGGGAGAATATGGAATCTGTAACCTGAATGCAATATGTAGAAAAGCTCGGGCACGCAACCCTTTCACCTGTTTCCTACCCCGGCTCTCACCACCCAAGATGGGCTGACGACGCGATGCTTTCTTGAATTCCACTTCGTGATCTGTTTGTCAAGCTCCCCTGCTCCCATGGGATAGCGCCTGATCAGGGCCACCATCTCACCTCACCTGAGAAAGCCTGTACACAATATGCCGACAGCATTGCAGCCGCGTAGACTGTAAAAGTAAACCTGTCTCTCTGGCTCTGCAAAATTATCAGCGGCTGCGTGCTTGGGGACCAGCCCGATCCTTTTTCCTTGGGGGATAGACTCAAAGCTGGTCCTCTTTGAGGAGGATAGACTCTAAACAGGTCCCCAGTGCGCATTTGTGAAGCCAATCTCTTCTCAGTCCCGTTGAGTGGCGTTCGCGGGAACATCAGTGAATCTCGCAAGGCACTGATGTTCCTCGTTCATCCCCCCTGTGAAAGTATTGAAAGACATGACCACCTGTGCTACTAAGTCCCCCGCGTTTTGCGTTAGGCGAGTAGCTTCATGAGTACCCGCAGTCAAGCTTTCTCTCCCAACGCATCCAGACGAGATGTTACTTCCAGTTTTCCACGTAGCGCGTCTAAGCCAAACATTGGCTGTTTGGTACCGTTCGCATCTTCTTACCGGACCACACCGCAAGCATCCTGCAGACATCCCCTAGACAAGATGAATTTTAGCCTTTCCTCCCTTTGCTGAGGACAGGAGCCGGCTTTTCGAGAATAATGTAAGATGTCCAAGCCTCTGTAGTTCTGGTGGTGAGTAGCTGCTCCACTGAAACAGCCATGCTTCAGACGTCAGGAGAAACTCTAAAACACCAGTCTAGATCTTGCTCACCAAACGCTTCATTTGGGAAGCTAGCAGGGCTATGTTCTGCTGTAAATAGGCAACACATGGTTTAATCTGCTTCGTCGGAGTCCGGCACCAAACTTTTTTGCCAGAATCGAGCCAGTCGGTACTCGAATCTCCACCCGAATGTTTCCTCTGTAGTTCGAGACAGCGCCTTCCAACGCGCCCGCTATGACAGCTGCGCGGCACGCGTACTACTACCAGGTTCCCCCTTCTTTCAATTAAACATCTTGGGCCGCGCTTGGGAATATAGAGGAAGGCAAGTTCGAAGCAAGAAATCTCTATATTTTGCAGGTCACACTTATGCAGGCATCGAAATTCACAAAACAGAAGTGGGGCGGTGGCGGAGAGGGGTTGGCACACTGCCTCTGAAGGTGAGAAGCGGGCAAGGATGGCCGCGACAACACTCGAAGAGACACTATGACACAGGTAAATCAAGGCTTTGAGAGCCGTTTCTCACAGGTAAAGACAGCTCGCAGCGTATAGAGAGTATCATCAGAAGTTGTGCGTGACGCGAACGTATAAGTCTCTCACAGAGCACCCTCCCGTGCTCTGACGCTTATTCTCCTCCACAGTACTACTCCCTCAGAACGCGCTGCCGTCCATACCATGACGTTTCAATGTGTCCATCTTAGGTTTATGTTCTAACATTCCAAATGGAAATCGTCCTCGTCTTGGGCTGACAGTCCGAGGGGTCCGCTTGTCTATTGGTCCCGGACATCACCCTTTTGACCTAGATGGTCGCCGCGCCCATGGAAACGTGGGTTTCTGGTGCTGAGCTGGTTGTGCCGTATCCTTGATGCCAAGGAAGTTTATGGAGCGGCTTCAACTTCCCTGATCTACACGATGGTGAGTGTCTTCGCTTTAGCTCTTGGTTGATACCCCACTTACTGTCACTGAACAGTCTTCGGTTTTGCTTGAAAGACAGAAAAAATGGGAAAATGAGAGGTCGAAGACAGTGGTTTTTCTTTCCGAAGTTTATGTAGATCTATTGAATGAATAAGTTATGGATTATCTAGCTCTTCGCTTGCGATCATGTTCTATTCCTGTTTCCAGAAACGACATTGCTGAGCAAGGTCTTCAGTCGACCCCCTGGCGAAAGAGGAAGCTGTTCCTCACCCCTTCCCGCCAATGACCTTGCATGCCATCTTGGTGAAGATGGAAGGCCTCCCTCCTCTCCCGACCGTCCAAAGGCTTTCTTGAAGTTCTTCTTTGGACTTAAAGGGGAAGTGGGGGAAGTAGGGGAAGTGGGAGAAGTGGGGGAAGTGGGGGACGGAGACCTACCCATGCGAGGCGTTCCCGAAGACCCCGCAGCGGTCTTGCTTGGTCCCGCCTGTGCCAAGGAACCATTCGCCCCACCGCTTGCCTCGCCGAACCCTATTGTCTGAGTGACGCACGTTGGAGATGCGTCATTCTGACTGCTGATATGGCCGAACTGCGGCCTTGAAGCTTTCCGCAAGAATAGGTTAACCTTTGCCCTTCCTCCTTTCTTGCGGGACTCCACCTTCAGCCTTTCCGCCCGCTCCTGAATCTGTCTCTCCGCCTTCTCTCTTTGCTCGTCCTCATGATCCAGCGAACTCATGTCTCTCAGCTTTTGTTTCATTCGCTCATCAACCCCCTCTATTGCGTATCGGACATCTTCATCCTCATCCTGCAATAGGCGGTCGATGGCGCTTCTAAACAAAGCATTGTTGTGGCATGGGAACGCCGCTTCATGGATCATGCCGGCCAGACGAAGCCTCACGTTTGCGACGCTGTCTTGCGCCAGCTCAAAAAGAGACTTAGCAAAGAGACTCTCAAACAGAGAGGAGCTGCATACCTGCAATGCAGAAGCCGCGCAATCAATAAACGCGATTCTCATCCAGTACACTCCTCCTCGCGCCCACTCTGAGATAAAGTTGCTCATTTCCTGTCCTCTCTCAACGGAATTCGGAAGACATCGAATAGCTCGGGCTATGGCTCGCATGGCAGCCTTCCTCACCAAGTAGGTACTATCCTCGGCCATTGAACATAGCAACGGAAGGACGTTTGCGCGCAAGCATTGAGGAGGCACCAATTCTGTGGATCTTTCCAGTTGTTGGGCAAGTAACTGTTGCGTTCTCCAGTTGCCTTCAGCGAGCAAAGTCAGGTTCTGAAACATCGGGGTGAGCTTGCGGACATTTGCAACATCATTGTCTGTCGACAAGGAAACCAAAATTTCTTGAAAGTGCTCTAGAGTGTTCCTACGCACAAGCTGGTTCTTATCTTGAAGCAATGAAATGACTGTGTGAAACAATCTGTCAACAGAACCATTTCCGACAAGAATTCGACAGGTTTCATGAACCCCAGCTGCCAGATTCCAGCGTGTTTCAGGGTCTGCGTCTTTGGCCAAAAACTCTGCAATACCAGAGAGACCAGGCGTGTACCCTTTCTTAAGACTTTCAGCGACTCCTGGAAGGTTAAAGGCACAATACCGCCGAACGATAGGTCCATTGCATGTCGACATTGACATGAAGGCCTGAAATGCGTGATCTTTGCCGTTCTGGTCGTCAAGGTATTGGTGAGCAGCGAACAACAGAGGGCCGAAGCACGTTGAGAAAATTTCCAAGAGCAAATATGTGTCATCATCCACCTTTCTTTGGTCTTTCTCAGCTGCCGCTCTTGCAAATCGGCATTCAGAGATAAAAACAGGAGGAAAAAGTGTCTTGAAAAGTGGAGATGTTTGACATTCACCCTTGTGTGCTTGCAAAATCAGAGATATTGTCTTTAGAGTTGCTGCATGAATTCGTGCATCAGTATCGCTGAGCAGAGACAATAACTTAGGCCAGATAATAGTCTCGACAATTTCAATATCCAAAACTGCTCCAACAATTGCCAAAGATTCTGCAACCATTCCGCGAACATCGATATCGGTGTCATCTGCCAAGTGCAGGGCACGATTGAGCACGTAAGACTCTATTTCTGCAATGTTCAAGCAAGTGGAAAGAGACCCAAGCACCCTGGCAACAAGCTTTCTTTTAACTTCGTTCTCCGACATGGCGAAATCGTCAAGGATAGAGATAACGGACGAAATCTCATAGTTGCCATTCCACTCAACGTTCGATAATGCAACAACTAGTATTTCACCCCAGCCTTCGAAAATGCTATCATTGTTACAACTCGTAACGACCTGAAAAGCGGCATCACAAATAAGCTTGGATATACGCTTTGGTGTGGTCGTCTGTTGAAGTACTCCTCCCAGAGCGTCAGCTGCTGTGATCTGGACCAGAATAGGCCAACCTGGAACTCTTTCGCAGATAGCGGGTACTAGCTGTTCGACAGTTTCTTCAGGCCACTGGATGAGCAAGTTCTGAAGATCGAAGAGGATCACGGTGCGCTGCGCTTCAGAACCCGAACGGATAAGCTCAGCCAACAGCGTAATGTCGACGGTTATGTCACTATCAGAGTGGCATAGGTTTGCGTGCATGTCGTCCTCCGAAGAAGTAGGAAACTCTTTCGGGCAAAACTGTTTCTCTTCGGGAGCAAAGTTGTGGAGGAGGTTGGAAGTATCTAGCATCATGATAGTGAGTCTGAAAAACGTTGTTCTCGGTTACGGTTCGAATAAAGCTGTGTTTGGAGTATTTGCTGATGGGCAAGAGAAATCGTCCTGTCTCTCGCCGCAGTTCCATTCTTTTATACACCGAGCCTACTCTGCTTCAAACCGAACTCCTATGAAACAGGAATTAAACAATGATCTTTCCTTGTGACACGCAAGTGCGAGAAAGCGAGTTCAAACTAAAATGGTGTCACTTTTCGTCGTCTCCGCTGGTGAAAGGAAAAATTTTCGGCTCTTGTCACGCATGTTGCAATTGAATCTCCCTCATACTCGAAGCCGAAGGAATCGCCCACACAACAATCCCACTTGAAAGATACACGATATTGCGTGTTCCACAACGGTTATGTTTTGCAGATAGACCCAAGTAAGGTCCAGTTGCTGCATACCATCGCTTTATCAGACATGCAATACGCATAGTGAAATCTATGCCCTTACTCTTGCAAACATGGGACGCAATATTTGACGGGAGAGAAACACCGCTTGGCCCCGCAATACGAATGTGATTCAGGGAGAGCTAAGACAGAAACAGTGTCTTTATTCCATCTAAGTGTTTCCTGGTCTTCATGTGTAAACGTTACACAAATCCGGGAGCAGAGGCAGCGAATTCTACCTATGTCGATGTCCAACCCAAATGCTTTCGGGCATACCTGAAAGCCATATAATGACTAATTGCGTAGAGAAGAATCTGCATGCAATTATCAGATGCTTCGCACTTCCAAAACCTAGCCTTTCAGAAACGCAATGATCTTGTTTAGAAACTAATGCCGTTTAACATTTCTGTACTCCAAATAAGATCGTCGTGAAACTAACAAAGTCCTGAACATGCCCACAGTGAAGGGGGCTGTGACTGTTCTTAGCCGACTTTGTTGTCCGCATGTTTTATTGAACCACGCAACTGTTTTCTTTCGAACAAATTAGTTAACATTCTAGAACAGTGTTCTACTAGCTAGCGCAGGGAACTAGAGCAGGATGTCTCTTACCACATTTGCATTTGGCGGTCCATACTGCCTAGGCACTTTCGCGAAGAGACCTGAAACATACAAGCTCTTTACTCTCCCATGTCTGCCTGCATTGTGGCGTGTGTCAGATTGCTCGTGCTTGCCGCCAAAAAGTCCTTTTCGTGCTTAGTTTACAAAGGACCAAAACGTCTAACGTTCGAACGGCAAGTTGGACTGCCAAGTTTAGTTTCGGACCCGTACAAAAAACTACTTCTTTCTGAGTTTGTCATAGATTTGTGCCTTAGAATTCTTTGCCTTTCTCCCCTGATATTCGCCAGATGCCATCAGCGCATCCCTCGCGTGGTCCCTCCCCTCCCTCCTAGGCGACGGCGAAGCGGACTGCTTATTCGGGGGCCCCGCTTCAAAAAATATCGGGTTCATTGACGAATCCGGGGACCGCACGACATGCCCGTTGTCTGCAAAAATGAGACTATTGTTGCTACGACACGCCCTCACAAACGTGTCGCTAATATCCACCCGTTGTCTCTTCCTGGGGTTAACATTAAGCTTCTTAATATCCGACACGAGCGCCTCATCCTTCGCGACAAACGCGACCGGGGGCGCGTCAAATTTGGGCACGGGGGGCGCGTTCGCGTTTGCGTTAGGGTTCCCGGCGGCCTCTTCGGCCTTCTCCCCCTGCGCGAGCTTCGCGGCGACGGCGGCGTGCCCTTGCGACGCGGGGAGCGGCGGTGCGTGCGGGCGTTCCGGCGGGGCGCGCTCCGGCGGCGGGGCCTGCAGCTGCGCGAGCTCCGTGGCGCAGAAGTTGACGATGTCCATCGGCGTGACGCGGTCGCCCGTGCGCGACTTGAGTGCGGCTCAATGCATGTGGC